TCATAACCTGCTTTCTACCTCCTGGCAGTTAGGGGCGGGAGTAGAATCATTACAACGCCTGCCGCAGCGACAAGATGACGAAGAAATCAATCACAAATGGAGCCGCTACCAGTTCTGAACGGAGGCAATGCCGTTGCCGCTGACAGATAGCAGAATGCCGTTGCAATCTTGCTTTGGAAAATGAAGAATAGTGTCACTGAAGTATGACATTCGACTGCAGTCTGATAATGATAGAACTTATTTCATCTGATGCAGACTTCGTCAATAACCTAGTATACGATATTAGTTTTTTTTTACACTGTTCGTCACTGTCAAAGTATTAATGAGTCTCAAACACTGAATGGATTCTTCCTGTTCGTGTTCATCCTGGCCAATCAACTAATAGGCGAAGGTGGTTCCTTCCTGGCAGTGCGCCGTGGAGAAATCAGGTTCGATAGTTTTTTTCTCGTTATCACATCGTTATCATGGAGCTGGAATGCCAATGCACGGGCATAGCTGGCATCCCTCTGATTGTTTGCAGTCCGTCTATGCTTCAGGTTCAAAGGTTGCCATGTACGGAGATCAAATGAGTCGTCACAAACGGACGACAGCCACTCTGACAAACTAAGATGTATGACGGCAAGCGGATGTGAACTTAATGACCAAAGGAAGCAATCTTTTGTCAGTCAAGTGCCATGCTCCCTCAAATCAAGGTCCGATGCAAAAGTAACTTCGGGAGAGTAAAACATGTCACGTTCGTAGGATTACCCGAACAGCCGCATGAAAAGAATGGAACCGTTCGGCCTTGCGAACGTTAACTACGGCAAGGCAAAACTAAAACCCAGTGACACTCCTCAGAGAAATTCAAAGCGAACTGTTGGCCCAAAAATTCGCATATACCAACTTAATATTGAAGCCACATCAAACGCAAAACACGACTAAGCGCCAAGAACACCCAAGGATCACAACATCAACGTTGTGGCTTAACAAGAAAATTAGTGCACCATGTTACACGAGTAGACGCTACAAGCTCATCGCTGCAGTAGACTACTCGAAACACGAATAACTACTTCCGTCCGGCAAGACCAACCGGAAGTCGCTGTGTTTAACGAAGTAAACAGAACAGTGTCAGTACAACATCTATAAAGTTCGGCAAAATAATCATCAACATATACAAGCAGCAAATATTTGCGATGCAGCCAGCAAATCGCCCCGTTGCTCATGTTGGGGATTACAAGAACGACGATACTTAGTGGAGTTACATAGAGAAAAACAGCGCAGAAGAAAAATTGGCAAAATGGGCATCCATAAAGGACCGCTGTTTGCTCTTCGACCCGTAGCAACACCAAACATTTCGATCCCGACGTTCGAAGAGAGACTTTAAAACTAAACTTCGCTATACCTCAATGGAAAACAACCAAACATCGACTCCGGTCAGTCATGTGATTCGGAACGGCTGCCAAAGAAGTGAACATGGAATGTCTTTACTCCAGATTGGCCCTGAGATAGCAATGATAACGACGAAACCGATTCCACGCTGAAACTTCCACAAAGCCAGCTGGTCATCATTCACCTCGGAAATCGAAATGATAATAATCCCCATCAATCCCACATCTGGAAACATTGATCTCTTCTGCAAAATCACCAAAGCAGCAGGCGTAAACCATATTCCAAGAGAATACGCACCATGCTGGCTTCTCAAAACTGAACTAGGCCATACTAAAAACACGAAAGGGCTGCCAACCAAGCTTTTACAGTCCTTGGATGCAGGAAGACGACAGCGATGGAGGGAAATCGTCGAAAACTTCAACTTCGCTCAATCGAGGCATGAAACTTACTACGCACTCTGGGAACGGAGACCCCTCACTAACTTCGGTCCCCAAAAGCGACCGCCGATGCGGCGGCTGCCAAGCTCTTACAAAACGATAAATATCAGGCAGAGAAGAAAATTAAGCAAAAAACTCGTCGAGAGCTGAAGGAAAATATCATCATACTACCGCTGATCTCTTCTCTTTACAAAAGTGCAAAACTGAAGCCGATCTTGCTGAAACAAACTCTGAAGAAGTTGCAGGACCTGACAAGATTTTCCTTGAGTTCCTAAAACATTTGGAACATAACAGTTGGAAATGGCTCATCGCGCTTTACACAGAAATTCACTGCGCCAGGGACATACCGACCGTCTGGAAGACAGGCAAAATCAGATGCCATTTTGAAACCCCAGAAGCCGCCTACTGAAGCGCCAAGCTACAGGCCCATGTCTCGATCCTCAGCACGGCATACAGGTTGCTGGAGGGGGTACTGCCGACACGTCTCACAGAGTCAGCTCTGCCACATGAGCAGACGGGCTTCGTCCTGGAAGGAGCTGCACCGACCAAGTAATCGCATTAAAATCGCAAAACAAGGCAAAAGACTGGAGTCGTACTCTCGGAACTGAGGCTCCGCCTTCGACATGGTGTGGAGGCACGAACTGTTTCTAAAATTTACAAAGACACTAAAATATCGCATCATCGTACGCTACTCAACATCAGCAACAGAAGATTCAATGTGTACTCGGGTGATCAGATAAGCTCAATAAGACAGTAAACGACGGACGTAAGGCTCCACCTTGGCACCCCTACTCTTCAAAATTTATACAAGCGATATTGCGCCAACATCAGCCATAAAGTTTGCCCATGAGGACGACTGGCACTTGTGTTCCAAAGTAGAAGTCTTGACCAGGTCAGGTGAGCTCTAACCACCAACCTGAAGCCAATGGAAGACCATTACCGACGATGGAGCCTCCGCCCGAACCCGATGAAAACAACTGTCACAGCCTTTCATCTCAATACTGCCTGGCAAAGTCTACCCTCGAACCATCTTTCTGAGAACATCTCCAAAGAACCTGCGCCAAGACTAACGCTCAGAACAACACAGCGCAGAAACTGGCGGAAATAAGCTGGGGATCTGACGTTCACACCCTGCTAACAGCAGTCCTCGCTCTTGTATACGCTAGCGAAGTACTATGCAGCGGCATAGCGCGAAAACAGAAAGCAGATATAGACGGAACTTCAATGCCATCCATAACAATACTATGAGCGCCAAAACAGTAACATTCCACAGCACGCCATTTCTCTGGTTATCGATACTCACAAACATGCCTCCATTCGACAGAATGGACACAACCAAAGTTGCCTAAGAGAATACGGCAAAATCCTGGATGAGCCAAACCTCACGGCAAGTCTCAAATCACGAACACCGTTCTGGCAAACCGCCAACGACGTAACCGCATGATCTTTTGACACCTGCAATGAGTGAAAAAAATCTCGCAGCATTCCAACGTGCCAAACAAACACCTAACCG